CAAGCACCCAGACCTAAAATTGGTACCATCCACATCGACAACACCGGACTTACAAACGCCACACGACTGCTATACGACCTTCAGACTGTAGCCCGTACCGGTTTCTTTGCCAGAAGCACCAAAAAAGAACTGATCATCCAACCCAAGACTCTCCAAGCACATAAGACTCTTCTTGACGCCCTCGACAAAATTGAATTGACTCCAGACATCAAGGCAAAATAATTCACGGTCAACCTATACTACCACCACCACCGCGCCACAGAAGAACGACGTGACAAACTAGTAATAAAAGGCTTATCCCCAAACACCCCCCATCTGACATCTTACAAGAACTCAAATGCTACAACTTCCCGATCCATCACATTGCAGGGATGAAAAGGAGAAACCCCGACAACACCCTGACCGGCCTTGGGATCCACATGATGGAGGTAAACAAAGACGACCTGACTGACATCAAGACCAACATCAAACACCTACTACACTACAGAGTGACAAACCACGACTACCAGCAAAACGACAGGATCCCAAGGTGTGACAAATGCCAAATGTACTACCACACCAAACAATACTGCCACAGACCGACGACTTGCGCCAAGTGCGGCGGAAACCACCACATCACTGACTGCACCAACGACTTCTTTAAATGCCCGAATTGCCAACGTGACCACCCAGCCTATTCGCAAGACTGCCCCATCCTCTTAAAAGCAAAACAAGACAGAATGACTACTTTGGCATTACGAACTGACAACAACAGACCAGACCCACCCAATCTGAATTCCCCCCTCTTCGTGTTCCATCAAACGCAGCAGCTCTTCAGCAGACGTACGCCAGAAAAACCCAATCATCCTCAGCCCCTACTTCTACCCCAACTCCCCACTCAACATCCACCTTCTCTGACGTAAAAGAACTATTCTCTCTACTCAAAACTTTCAACCTCTCCAAACTCATTGCAACTGCAAAAGACATGATCAACATACCTAAAGTACCGACGACACCATGATTAAAATAATCACCATCCTGACCAAAGTTTGCGACCTAATTTAAATTCACTATTAGAAATAAACTGACGAACATCACTACTTGGAACGCAAACGGCGGACTGGCCCGGAAGGTACAAGACATCCGACAATACCTAAAAGACTACTCCGTCGGGATATTACTACTCCAAGAAACGCACCTCAAACCCCACCTCTCCTTCTCCATCCCCGACTACATAACATATCGCACTGACAGACCAACACAGAGGCGAACACGGAGGCGGAACAGCGATATGTATCAGAAAGGACATTCCCCACACCCAACTCCCACCTATTGCCACAACCCAAATAGAAAACACCAGACTTGAAATACCTACTCTTTATGGCCCTATCACTATAACCTCAATATACAAACCACCACAAAGCCCTCTGTTAGACCAAGACCTCGACCTACTGACCACAAGCACCTGCCTATTAGCAGGCGACCTAAACTTAAAATCGACCACCTGGAGATGCAGACACACCAATGCCAACGGAAACAAACTTAACTACCTCAACACCCGACCAACTAACTCTGACAGAACCGACAGAACCAACACACCTTGTACGAAAATTACCCCACGACATTTTAGACTTCACAATTCAATCAAGCATCACCATCAGCTCAGCCCACCCTCATCCTGATCTCAACTCCTATCACCTTCCCACCGTTTTCACAATAGACACACTATCCCTCCATATAAACCTTATCCGGAAAAACATAGAAACTGACTGGAAAAAAATCAAACATCTAATAACAAAAAAGATCAAACATCCTAATTCCCTTGAAACCCTACAACAAATCAACTTAGCCATCGCTCATTTTAACCTTCAGATAAATCGATCCCATTCCAAATCATCTACCTACACCAAAGACACCCCACCCAAACTGCCCGACAACATCCTACAACTTATACGCTACAAACGCAAATCTGAGAAGACATTCTACCGTACTAGAAGACAAGACGACCGACGCACGTACGAACACTACAGAAAAACCCTCCACAATTCACTGATAAACTATTAAAAAGAAAAATGGACAAACACCATCGACGAACTGACTAGGCACCCCAGGAGAATCTGGACACTAATTAAAGAACTAAAGACAAAAGCAAATTCGATCTCCCCACTTACCCTGCCAGACGGAACACTAACCTACAACCCACACACCAGAACTCTTCGCAGACAGACTGCAAAACCGATTTACATCCCCAAACACCCCCCTCCCACCTTCAGCAATAGTATACTTCCTCAACCCCCCCCCACATTCCACCTCAACATCAATCATCCTGGACTATCACAAAAAAAGAAGTGAAAGACGAACTAAACTCACTCGACGAAACCAAAGCGACAGGTCCCGACGGAGTTAAGGCAGCAGCGTTGAAAAGACTGACCAAAAACGCGACGGACTTCCTGACTGATCTCTTCAATGCCTGCATTAAGACAAACTACTTTCCCGACACCTGGAAACACGTCAAAATCATCATGCTCCCCAAACCAGACAAATCACACCGAGATCCAGACAACTACAGACCTATCAGTTTACTACGTATCTTAGGCAAAATCTTCGAAAGAATTATACTAAAAAGACTGACACCACTTATCGACAAACGACTACGACCAACACAATTCGGCTTCCGGTCAGACAGATCAACAGCACTTCAGACTTTACGCATCTCATGTGACATAGCGACCAGCCTCCAACGTACTACGAAACCCATTCCACCAGTCCCATCTATCTTTCTCGACTTCTCTCACGGTTTCGACTCAATTACAACACCCTCATCTATAAAATCACTCCTTACATCCCGAAATTTCTTCCTCTTCTTAAAAAGTATCTCTCCAATAGAACTTTCCACATTAACTACCTCAACACCACCTCCTCCAGCCGACCAATTTCAGCCGGCGTCCCCCAAGGGGCAGTTCTTTCACCGACACTTTTCTCCCTATACATCTATGACCTACCAACCGCTACAAAAACAAACGACTACATCTACGCAGACGACACCGCCTTGACAGTGACTAAACAACGACTACCTAACTCAATTTTGACTCTCCAAGAGACACTTAACCAAATTACCCACGGGACAAAAGAAAACGACTTAAAACTAAACCCCCAAAAATGCTCTGCAATACCATTTTAACGTAACAACCATGCTCCTAACCCTCCCCCACACACAATCGACAACACCCCTATAAACTGGACCGAAAGCACGACATACCTGGGTATCACACTAGACCGAAAACTCCTCTGGACAAAACACATTGACAAAAATAACCCAAAAGCCAACAGACATCAAAACGCCTCTCCCAATCATCACCCACCCCCACACAACGACGAAGACGAAACTTTACAATCTACGAGACTTACATTAAACCTATACTTAAATACAGACTAGTGAGACCTGGCCGCCAACCTGTAACGACAACTACGACAAACTTCAACAAACCTTCGAAAACCAAGATTTCTTCCGACTGCAATTTTAGACCTCCTCAATGACCTAACCTACATAGGACTAAGAACAATCGCTGAACCTCACCCCCATTCGACAAAGACATCTTCGACACGCCAGACGAATATGCGAAAAAGCCTTACAAAAAACCCAAGTTTTCACCCATTTCCTCTCCACTCCACCCCAGAAAAATTCTGTCCACCCCCCCAATACACTTCCCCACCTCTCGAACATTCCTACAAAACACAACACCGCCCTGAGCATACGTAGTGGTCTGAAAAGTTCTCCGGCCTCGCTGGTAGATCGCAGCACTAGTAGCATGTTTTTGCCCTCATGTTAGTTATTGCCTTCAGGAAGGCTGTGCGTGAAATTTCACATCATTCCACCCGGTAGTTTCGCTGTAGCGGCCAGCCGTTTGAGTCAGGCGGCCGTGCGAGAATTCATGGAATGGGAGGAAACCTTGAGTGATCGTGCAGTGATAATTCTTCGTAAAAGATGCACATTTGGCTTTCTACGGACGATTATGTGACAATGGATGAAAACGTGGATTCACCACTACACACCACGAATCAAAACAACAATCCAAAGCAGGTGGGCAGAATCGGTTGTTTGGCCGCCCAAAGAAGGTGAAGACTGTGCATCTGATATAAAAAAAAAAAAAAAAAAAAAAAAAAAAAAAAAAAAATAAAAAAAAAAATGAAAAAAAAAAATTAAAAAAAAAATTCAGGCGGGAAAGGTCATGGCATCCGGTGTTTTGGATGCCAAAAGGAATCTTTAATTGATTACCATGAAAGGTAAAAAAATAACTGGGGAATACTACCCAACCTACTAATAAAATTAACGCAAACATTCGTGAAAAGAGACTCACTTGCAGAAGAAAAAAGTCATCTTCCATTCAGGGACAATAACACCTTGCTCACAAAAGTGTTTGCGATGGGAAAACTGCCCGCGGATTTGGCGTTATGAAGTGCCCTAGACATCACCCTATTCCCCAGATTTGGCTCCCTCGGACTCCACCTTCTTCTCAAAACTCAAAATGATCCTTGCTGGTCAGCGTTTTTCATCCAATCAAGAAGCAATTGCAGCGGTAAATGGTTATTTTGCAGAATTTCCGGAAAATCACTACAGAGATGGCATAATAGCGCTGGAACAACGCTGGATGAAATGCATCAGTTTTAAGGGTGATTATGTTGAAAAATAAAAGGATTTTTAAAAACTTCAATTTGCATTTTCACTATCAGACCGAGAACTTTTTAGACCACCCTCGTAAGCACCCACTCCCCCGCCAAAACAGGCCCAACAATCCCTCCGTCAATCAGGCAAATTTCACCGTCAACCTAAACACCCATGAACCCGGCTTTACTTCCCTTTCTTCTCGTCCACCCCTTCCCATCCTTCCTCTCCAAACAACAGCTAGTCTGGGGTAGCGAGAGGCTCC